CGTCCCGCCCCCAACACTGAACTGAGACACAGATTACAAAATGTGCCTCCTATCTTGAAGTGTGAACCTAGCACAATCCCAAGGCAACTAGTACACTGTAGGTGCTCAATAAAATGCTGACCGGTCAAGTGGACAACCAGTTTATGCAGCATCTCCTCAGCTTCTCGCATGGGGAAAACGCACTTGGGCTTCCTGACAGCTTAAGCCTCTTTTTAGTCTGTCACTTATGGAAAGTGACAGAGGTCGTCCAGGAAAATGGAAATCCTCGTAAGGCTCTACCTATTTGGAAGAACTACTGTAAGACGTAATGAGAGAAAGTACAGTGTCAGGCCACCTTCAGCTGAAGCCACTGCTACTTTCCACAACTGCTAGTAGTTCATGAGCATTTAAAGAGATGGCTGGTAATGTTAGTCTTTCCAGTGGAAATTTTCTTAACTTACCTGAAATCAGAGTTTCTAATCTCTGAAACTGATCTGTTAAGAATTTTTGAGACAGCTCACAGTGGTAATATACAATCAATTTTTAAAAAAAATTTCCCCAGTTCTAACGAGCAGCAGGGGGCAAGATCCACTCCTATGAAATCTAACATTTGTTCCTCTATTTTTCAGGGTTCTTATTGATAAAATGGTGGCAATTATGCTTAGATTTATGGAAACTGAAAATCCTCCTGAAAGTACAATTCATACATAAATGTTAAATGGAATCCTTTCTTCCTATTCTCAATACCTTAGGTCATTATAAAAGTAAAGTCTGACTTATTAAAACCATCTGGTCAATAAGTGTTAATATCCGTATTAGAAATGAAATTTAGGGCTTCCCTGGTGGCGTAGTGGTTGAGAGTCCGCCTGCTGATGCAGGGGACACAGGTTTGTGCCCCGGTCCGGGAAGATCCCACATGCCGCGGAGCAGCTAGGCCCGTGAGCCATGGCCACGGAGCCTGTGCCCCGCAATGGGAGAGGCCACAACAGTGAGAGGCCCGCGTACCGCAAAAAAAAAAAAAAAAAGAAATGAAATTTAAAATCCATTAAAGGACAATTAAAACAAAGAAACAGACTGCCAAAACCATAGTCTCAATTAACCCACAATCAAGTGCATACTGAAACAAAGGTGTGAATCTAAAAGATAACTGAGCGGGGACGAAGTGAGAGAGAGTGGCATGGACTTATATACACTACCAAATGTAAAATGGATAGCTGGTGGGAAACAGCCGCATAGCACCGGGAGATCAGCTCGGTGCTTTGTGACCACCTAGAGGGGGGGGATAGGGAGGGTGGGAGGGAGACGCAAGAGGGAGAGGATCTGGGGATGTATACGCATAGCTGATTCACTTTGTTATACAGCAGAAACTAACACACCACTGTAAAGCAATTATACTCCAATAAAGATGCTAATAAATAAATAAAAGATAACTGAGAATAGTATTTCCAGAAGATTAAGCTGTAGATCCTCTGTGAATAAATCCCTATTTGTGGAGATGGAATGCTTTTCTCTAATCATGAAAATGAAAAGAAAAGGGATCTTAGCAAAGTATTGACTAGGCGTCATTTTTGTGCTTATAGTATAACGAGCCCTGAGGGAGAGATCTGAAATGACAACAAATATAAAACTTCATGTTAAAGTGACACTGAGTATGACATAAATTTAGTATAAGAATCCTCTTAAAATGAAAAAAAGTTCAAACAATCACATCACATCCTGTAAACAACCATTTTTCTTCTCCGGAAATGCCCCATTACCTGAATCTCTCTTCCTTCTTTTGAGAAACATTCTGTCATTGACAGTGAAGGGTATCGGGATCTGTTACCCCAAAATATGCCACTGGGCAATAAAAACGATTTTTGAGCCGAAGGCATTTGAGTTCCTGAAATCCCTTATCTGCCTAAAAGCAGAGCGCCACCCCCCCGCACCCCCAAAGAACGCAACTCTCCTAAATCCCCTCCTGGGGCAACTCTATAATCTCCTCTTCTGGAGCCCCACCAGACCCCGTCACAGACGATCATGTCTCCCACCTGCTCTCTTAAGGCCCATTTATTTTCCAGAAAGTCACCTGCTTTTTCATAAGTGCCCTTTCTCCCCCTTACCACCCTCACCCCTGCCTTGACTAGGTTGGGTGGAGAGAGCCCAAGCTAACCCTCTCTTGGAGTGACTGATCACCGGATACCGCGTGAATGCAGGACGCACGTGTTAATGACCTTCCAGTTGCTTTTCTCCCGTTAGTCTGTCCTTTGTCAGTCCAATCTACAGGGTCTGGGTGGAGAACCTAGAGGGCAGAAGGAAGAAGAATTTTTTTTCCTCCCCTGCAATACCAGGGTGTCTGATTTGACAGCTATGGCTATCTCCCAGCTCTCAAAGCTATTTTAAAAATTCTGTAAGCAACATAAGCACCTGAAAGAGTCGAAGTTTTAAAACCCTTTGAGACACTGGGTCTAAGTTTCTTTAACTTTTCAAACTGAATATTAAAATATAAAAACGGTATCAAAGTGCTTACTGTGTTAGGCAAAACTGCTATGAAGAAAAGACTTCATTAGTGGCAAAATAGTTACTCATGTACATGCAGTTAAAGCAAAATCAGTCTCCACACCATGAAGATCCTCACCAAATCTTTTTTATAAATATACTTAGCCTACTTTATGTTATTTCATCTTTTATCCTTATTTCACTATTTATCTTTTATTAAAAGATAAATTTGAAAAAGTAAAATTGTACGGTGGCAATATGACTCTGAATTAAATTTTCCTACTTGAAAAACTAACAGATCTACATTTTCTAATGGGGGAAAACTGAAAATAATATCTTATCACTATTAACAATGGCTGATTAAATCAAATAAAGGGCAGGTGATGCGGTTCTAAATACAGTACTACTGGAAATTAGTAAAACATATAACATACAACCGTGATACATATAAAGTCATGTAGGCAAACGCTACGCAGTATCTACTCAGTTAGAAAGGAACTAGCTTTAGAAAAATCAGAGATGCCATCTGATAAAAGCACATAAAAGACACAAAACAAAATATACTTATTTAGCATGTTAAAAACAATCACATCAAAAAAAGTATACAGATAAAAAAGTCATAGATGACATAAGAAAATAGTGTGTGTGCATATATTTTTTGCATATATATATATATATATATATATATATATATAAAAATCTACAGTATTTACCACTGTTGATATATATATATATTTTGGAACAGCTCTGATGCTGCTATCATAAACTAAATTGTACAGCTTGGTTTATTACAAGTCACAGAATCATCCCCAGCTACAGTTTTATATACATTTATTTCTAAGCTTCCACATGATCTGAATCAGGAGCCTGGTGGATCGGAGTTTCCGTGCAGTGTTTGGCTGCTAATACACTGCATTTGTTTTGCTATTTAATAACATCATTACCAAGCTGATTAAAATTATATTAGGCTCATTATATACATAAAAATATTGTCACATTCACTAGCTAAACAAATGTTACTCTCATTTTAAAAGACATACTTCTGTACCTTGAAAGCTTAAAGCCCCAACTTGCAACAAGAACCATCAATGTTAGGTTTTCTATTCCCTATTGTTCAAATAGGATCAAAGTAATGTTGAAAACAAGCTCTCCACTGAAACCCAAAGGCTTACTTTCTTGGAGTGCCCAAAACTTGGTCAGTGTTTTGGTCATTGTAGTGTAACAGAAGATTTTGAAAGACACTGCTGATTTGTTACCATGAACCTGAATTTTTCACTGAAACAAACAACAAAAAAAAAGATTTTTGAAAGTATGAAAGTCATGCTATTTAAAAAACAACAACAAAAAACCCACCAAAATCTGAGGTTCCTAGTAATAATTAGGATCATTTTTTACAATTTTACACAGCGATAATTTAACGGCCTACGAGCAGCAATATTCACTGACTACATTCTTTAAAGAAGAGGGCCAGGAAAAGATCATGTAAATGCCACCCCGGGGCCCTTTGCGGGGAGACTCCACAGTAATTTAAGGGGCAGAAGTAAGAAGTAACCATATTGTTAATCTTGCTTTCAAATGAATGTAAAGGAATTTGTTCTGCTGCCCCGTGTGAGTGCTTGATGATCAGTAACTTGCAGCTTCTCCTGCTGGCATCCGCCAGAGGGCTGTGTGTACACTTCCTGGGCATCTGGCAAAAGGAACACTCTGCTCTGAGCTTTGCGAGGGTCAGACCAGAAAAAAGGGCACAGACACACGAAAGCTGATCTCTTGGTGAACACGGATACATTGCGCGCTGCACCTTTGGTCATAAAATTAAACTGCCCCGATTTTAAGCACCATTAAGTGGTTAGCCTTTCTCTCCAATGTCTTTAATCTTCAGATTGAAAACTGAATGAGCAATTGAACGAGAAAGCTGAGCATTCCGTGAGATGCTGAATTAAGCCAGGGCAAACCCTCAATTCAGTTTAGGACCTGGGTTAAAAATATAAGGGGGAAAAAAAAACATGACCAAAAGACAAGGTAGGGAAAAGAAGTAGAATAAATTATTCCATGGATCTAGATGAAAAGTAGTTGGTTTTTTTTTTTTTCAACATTTCTTTAGTTCTGTGTTCAAACGTGTATGCGTAGATGCATATAGTATCTATTAAAAGACACGTACACTACACATAGCCGTAAAAATATCTATTCTACAGTTTTTCAGTGCTTTGTATCATTACTCAAAATAGAATGGACTAACAGAGTACAAATATTCAGATTTTGGAGAAAGATATAAATGAAACTGTGCGTGCATCCCTAAATACTATTGCTATGTTTCCAGGTTAAATTCTTTTTAACAGGTTCAGTGATGATGCAAGTTAAAAGCTCATCTTAAGCAGCATCTAGGTGGGGATGAAATCACTTCCATATATTCTTATTACTGACATACACGAGAATTGTGTGAGTTGTTCACAACTGTATAAAATACTGCTTTGGCAATTATCAACATAGCAATGTAGGCTTCATGTGGTTTCTATCTCTCGTCTGCAGCAAGTACAGATCAATTCTCACAGCAATACTGATTCCTGGATAGAGAGTCCATCCCGATTCCTGTAGTGATATACTGGAGGCGAGGGCCCTGAATACTGATACCCAGATGAACTGGCATCTTCCAGAGCTGGGGAAGTTCGATACCGCACCGGACTATCTACTGAAACTGCAGGGAGGGTGTGGTCCTGATAGGGGACGTGTTGAAAGCTTGGGTATTTGGGTAAACTGCTTAAGTGGCTACGGTTGGCATCACGAGTCCACGACTGTCCGTGCATCTCCGGTCTCAATGCGTAACCAACTTCCGACCATTTTCCGTTATTATCTGGCAAACATTCCACTGGAGGAAGGAGGAATTTCCCATTCTTTGGTGACCCTGAATTGCCCGAATATCCCGCAGCACCAATATCAACAGGGAGAACTTCTATTCGACTGGACGGCTGGACCAGAGGAGTTGGGCGGCTGTAAGATTTCTCTGGAGAAACATCAGTCGAAAGAGCAGAACCGTAAGGTCTCCGGGAAGGATTCACTGGTGTCCCGTGGGGAAACGGTGGAGACACAAAGCTGCTGTTAGCAGCAGGGATGCGCTTTGGAGAACTGCCCTGGTAAGTGGGGGGGTCACTGTAAGATGGGGGGTGTGCTGCCCCTCGATCCTCCCCGTCTAACTGGGATGGATATTTTGCATAACTCGGAGGCTGTACTTTAAATGTAAACGTGTTCGGGGCTCTGGATGGACTGGAGCTGGGCTCAGCGTGCCTCCTTGGGCTGTGAGGGTAGGCCGCGCCCCTGGGGCTCTGGGAGCGCGCCCTCTCCAGCGCCTGCTCCAGGGCCGCGCTGGCTCCATCCCCGGGTACGTTGTCGTACTGCGAGGCTGTGGAGCCACGCTTCCCTTCGTCTGCATCCAGCACCTTCACCTTCTGCCTGACGCTGGGGGCCCACGGATCAGAACTGGGGACGGTGACTCTCGGTGTGGGGTGTGCAGCCCGACTTCGGCCTTCAATGGCATACTTGGCGGTTTTCTCAATAGCTGAGATATCTGACGGCTTATTCCATTTGGGCACAAACTCCTTCCTGACGTGTGAAGTGGCGTTGCTATTCTGGTTAGCGGCTGCGTGGTTATACTGCCTGGAATTGTCCTGTGGACCCGATGGAAGTCTCCTTTGAAAATCCACCTCATCTTTAAGCTTTTTACTCTCCTCGTCCACCGACTTCCGCCGCAGTTGCCGCGCCCTCTCGGGGGTACCTGTTCTACTTTGATGGGGAGGGGAATGCTCGTGGGCTTTGTAAGGTGACGAGCCGCTCTCTCTCCTGCCGTCCAGATGCGGACTTGACCTGCCCACACTTCTCTGTCCGTTGCTCAGGTGACTGATGCCAGCTGATTGAGATTCAGGGGGAAGTTGTCCCAAAGGTTTCTTTGGAAATTCATCCTCTTTACCTAAAGGGAAAGATCAATTCATAAGTGACATAAGTGCATGAATAAACGGTATCAAATATAAGAACTATATCATGAATAACTGCTTACTTTTCATGTGTGCACTCAAGCACATGCACATACGTACGCAGACACACAGAATTTTAGTGGCTTAGGAGAAGCATTTTTTAGAGAGATTCCTACTAAGGCATACCAAAACTCAAAGTCTTATTATGCAATGTGCAGATGGGAAAATTTTATAACCTTATGAGTAAGGATCATACAATTGTGTAACATGTGATTCTTATATTTTGTTAAGATAGTTACCTGCTTTATCATGAATGAGAAGCTGCTATTCTCATTTCTATTCCTAAAGCAATCCTGCAGATCAGTAGTTCAGTGTCTCACCGTTACATTCCTTCCACTTAAGCATACCTCAACTGAAACAGTTTTGGAATCTCAGTAAAATGGTTCCTATCAACCTCAAGCAGGTCTGCCAAGTTTAAAAGTTAACTGATGACCAACTGTGGTCTCCAAGTTATCCCCAAATAGCTTATTATTATTCTCTCAAGTACCTTCCACCGTATACAAAGAAACGGCATTCTCTATTTCCAAATTACTACTCTAAGAGGGTCCTACTTTAAATGCAAAAAAAAGGGAAAAAGAATAAAAAAGAAAGAGAAAATCATATTAGATACTTTTGGTTTTACATTTAAAATAACTAACATGGGAAAACTAATGAGGAATTAAAGAAACGTGCAATAACTTGGGCATTTTGTAAACAGTGTGTAAAATGATCCACAATATGGACTCCACTAAATACCATCCTGAAAAAAACCAACAGACTCCACTTGTAAAAATTCCAAGGCTTAAGACGTATGTTTTTTATGTCTTCCATTACTACAAAACCGTATATTCTCACTTAAGAATAAGTCATTGCACTCTTCAAATGCTCCGCCACCCACCCACCTAACAAATGTTTCCTGAGGAAAGCCATGAGTCCACCAGCTGTGAGCAGGCGGACGCCGCCTCATTTTTATGTAGCTTACGGTCTAGGTGATGATAATTGTATTATTTACCCACGTACCATAATTTTCTTTAAGATATTAAAATAATTCAATGAGCTTTTCTTTGGGAGGGGAGGGAGTAGAGAATGATGGCAATGAGATATCCTTTAAATAGTTAAGCTACCAGAATAAGAATTATTGAGCTAAAGATACTTTATTCAGTGGTCTTGGCATAATCAACATGGTTCTTGCATCTTTCTATAATAAAGATGTTTTATGATATATGGACAGACTATTTTAAGCGATAACCCAAACTTGAAAATGCTTGTCATTGAGAAAAGTTTTGTTTATCAATGTTGCATGTAAAATAGTCTGGAGCATTCCAGTTCAGCCTGACTAGCCTCATATGAAATATCTGGAATTGAGGTGAGAAAGTTGACTCAAATGCAGCCCTAGTCCAGAATATTCACAAGTAGTCATTCAGCCTATCAGGTTAAAAACGAACAATAAGGGGCTTCCCTGGTGGCGCAGTGGTTGGGAGTCCACCTGCCGGTGTGGGGGACGTGGGTTCGTGCCCCGGTCCGGGAGGATCCCACATGCCACGGAGCGGCTGGGCCCGTGGGCCATGGCTGCTGGGCCTGCGTGTCCGGAGCCTGTGCTCCACGGCGGGGGAGGCCACGGCAGTGAGAAGCCCGCATACCGCAAAAAAACAAACAAACAAAAAAAACGAACAATAAAAATAAAATTAAAATCTATCTGGTGTCCCCCAAGTTTTTATCAGCTCTACAAGTAGTTATCCATTTAGTCCCAAGGAAACATATGAATTCCTTCTTTCCTGTAGGAAAATAACCGCAACAAACACAAATTATCTGGAAGATATGATAGAAAAACCGAATGCAGGAATTTTCTTTTCGCCTCCACTCTGACAACTCTCTAGGCGCACAACACAGTAATTGGACTGGCCGACTGATATTCCATCAGATAATAACATCAGCCTTTTCAGGTTGGTGTGTAGGAAACCTGATGGAAAACATAACCATTAAAAAGAAAAGGAAAACAGTGGCTCCTGGAGAGAGTGCTAATTCATGCCTGCAAGATGCACGTTACAGGGACAGACAGGATCAGCTGTAGAGATCCTCACGCTGAGCCCTCCAAGCCGTCCCACATCCCTACCACTCGATGGCTCCCGGCAGCCTGCAGAGAGCCGCCAACACTCTACTTCCCATGAAATCATTCTAAATGTTTCTAAAAATTCTCCACAGCGGTATTAAAAAAACAAAAAGAGAAGAACAGATTTCAAGCTGCCCGGCTGCTGCAGGTTGCACGCCTTCTCCCTAGAACACTGTCGATCAGCGGAAGCCTCATCTGCTTCTCTCGGCCCAGACCCTGCGTTGGGGTTTCAGTCTTTATCAATTCACAAGTCACGAAAACAGTTGCTTGAAATTAGGTTTTTCAAGGGTTAGCTATCTGCTATGGTTTGAATGTCTGTGTCCCCCTAAAATCCATGTTGAAACTCCCCAGCGTCACCTCCATGTAATGGTGTTTGGAGATGGGGTTTGGGAGGTAATCAGGTCACAGGGTGCAGCCTCGTGATGGGATTAGTGCTCCCATCCTTTCCACAGTGGAGTAACGGACGGGGCCACCAAGAGAGGTGGGGTCTCCTGGGTTTTTCATCCCCCGCACTGCGGGGACTGCAGCCACGGGTCCCTTGAGTTGTAGTCGACAGTGGGGTGAGGAGTGGCCCTGGCAGAGCAGGAGGAATGCCCAGCTGGGGAGGCAGTGGTCAGACAGGGGGCTCTGGACCCCGCACAGGCAACCCACCTCCTTCTGCTGTCACACCTGCCCAAATACACCAGAGGGGGTGACATTGAAGAGGGAAGGAAAGGCCAGTAACTGATTAATGTGAGTGACGTGCTGGGCAGGGCCTGGCACGTGTAGCCCTGGGACAGAGCCACACACCCTGTGTCCTCTGAGGTGGATGGGGCACCAGAGCAGGGGGCGAGTCACCAGAGAATAAACGTTTGCTTTTTCTCTTCCTCAGCAAGGTCTGTGTCTAAAAACCACCTCCTTGTTATGGGCTGAATTGTGCCCCCTCAGAATTCCTATGTTGAAGCCCTAAACCCCCGAACCTCAGAATGTGAATGCATTTGGAGATAAGGCCTTTACAGAGGGGACTAAGGTTAAATGAGGTCAGCAGAGTGGGCCTCTCATCCAACATGACAGGTGACCGTATAAGAAGAGGCGATGTGGACAGAGACACACACAGAGGGAGGACCACATGAAGACACAGTGAGAAGGTAGCACCTAAAGCCAAGCGGAGAAGAAACCAACCCTGCCCTCACCTTGATCTTGGACTTCCAGCCTCCAGAGTCATGAGAAAATCAATTCTGTTGTTTAAGCCACTGTCTGTGGTGCTTTTGTTATAGCAGCGCACACGGATTAAGACACTACCCTTCGGTCTACATCCTAAACCTCAAAACTGATTTGCTTTACTAAACACAAATTTTATGGATTGCTTTTCCTGTTAGTGAAAAGTCACATATTTCTTTATTTATGATCATCTGCTTTTATTGTTCTAGGACATTTTCAATGTCAACAATGTAATGAAACCAACTACAGTAATTAAAACTTATTTTAGGGGCTTCCCTGGTGGTGCAGTGGTTGGGAGTCCACCTGCCGATGCAGGGGACACAGGTTCGTGTCCCAATCCGGGAAGATCCCACATGCTGCAGAGCGGCTGGGCCCGTGAGCCATGGCTCCTGAGCCTGTGCGTCTGGAGCCTGTGCTCCGCAACGGGAGAGGCCACAACAGTGAGAGGCCCGTGTACCGAAAAAAAAAAAAAAAAAATTTATTTTACAAAACCAGGGCAAAAAGACAACTGAACACAGTAAGTGTGGAGGGTGGACACAGGCAGTAACAGACCCACAGGGGTAACTCGAGTTCCGTTACTTCACAGCTTCTTGTGATTTCCTATGGAAACGCAGACATTCAGCTGTAGCTACTTACTGATGCTGACAAAGATAAAGGGCATCTTTGTAAGTGTGGTACCCAGAATTTAAGCAATATTCTAGGTTTGGAGTAACTGAAAAGCAGTACAGTGGGGTTTAATAAGGGACTGATGCAATGGAAGAAATTTTTTAAGAACACTTTACAGTGGTGGTGGGAGGGAGAACGTGAGGGGGAAGAGGTACTAGGGGAGAAAACTGAACATCACGTCCTGTTCCTATATTCTATTGTCCATAGGTTTCCATCCTGAAATCCTTTGGATACATAAAAGGCCCGTATCAGTAAAGACTAATAGGAGGCAGGGTAAAAGGCAGGATTACAAAAATAAGGCACATATTTCTCAGGAGAAGGAATAAAAAAGTGAGAAGGCAGTAATGGACTGAGGTGGTAATTTCATGCCTGAAACAAAATGCAAAGGTACGTGTCATCCATACAAGGGAGTTTTAATTTTTCGATATAATGGGTAAGAAAAGTACTCACCTTACACTTAACACTACTTTATATTCAAGTCAATACATGAATTTCTCTAAGGAAGAGACATTAATATTCTATGCATCTACATATTATATTAGAATTAAAAGAAAATTTTAGCATGTTCCATTTACTTAATGGTCAAGAGGCCAAAATCCACACCAGAAAAAAAAAATCTGTGACTGTTCTAAAATATCAAAAAAGCAGCTTCTTAAAGTTCTTTCATGGTAGCCCATAATACATTTCCCTTTCACCTTAGCAGAAGATAACCTACTTAAAGTGCAGTCCTACTTATTTTGCAGACCTTCCTATAGCATCTAAAATATTAACAGAATTACAGGTAAGGTTTTGACAAAATGTCCACTCACTCAAAGGTAACTAATCTGAATTAGAGTAATGATATACCATTCAAATAGTACCAAAACATAACGGTTATAAATATCCAAGATCTATGTAGCTATGAAACTAGATATAGCAGGGTTTCGAGAAAAAAAAAAAAAAATCCAGTGCAGACAAAAGGACATTAAGTCTAATTCATTTCTGAATGTCAATCTCTCACTAGGAACTAGGATTCTGTAACAGGTGTATGGTGAATACCTCAACTGTACAAAGACATTTAGAGGATATGGCCTCTTTGCCCCCATAAAGATTATCAATAAGCATGGAAGAAAGGAAGTAATTTGAAAAAGGCAGTAGACAAGGACATAAGGAGGAGCTTTCTAAAATGGAAGTGCTTAAGAAACCTAATTCCTCCCAATTTTAAGGACAGTAATGCAAGTTAGGCAAGGAGGCCTTGCTTGGTAAGGGTAAGCTTATTCCCCGGTGCCAGGGCCGGGCCGCAGTGCTGGCAACAGGGCCGGGCTACACCTACTGTCCATAGTGACCTGGGACCGGGGAGCAGGGTAGGGCCACCAGCAGTTGCTGACTGATGACTCACGGACTCTGCCACGTCCAGTTTATTCCTGTAAGTGACCCAACCCCTCTGAACAGCGCAGCTCCTCAGTGATTCAAGAGCGAGCAAATGTGCACTTGCTGTTGGCATCTCTAAGGGTCCTCAGGGCCACCGTGACCATGGGAAGGGCTGTCTCTCAAGAGGAGTGAGAAGGGGGTGGGAAGGAGGGACCAGAAGGGAAAAGAGAGAAAGAAGGGGGAGGAGGAGGGGAGGGAGAGGACGGGAGACAGAAGGGAGGAGCGTGGAGGGCAGCAGGGCCGGGGGGGCCCACGGTGGAGCATCGCCACCCCCACCGGAGGCCGCTGGGGCCCGCGTGTCTGAGCGGGGACCTGCTCCTATTTCTCAAAAACTGAGCAAGGCCGAGTCTCGGCAACCACAGCACCAAAACCCAAGAGCCCTGCGCCTGGGGGAGCTGACCCTCTGTGTGTAAGTACAAAGTCAAGAAAAAACTCTACCCAACCTCGTCGTAAGGAGATTCTTCCGTGAAGATTAGTTATTCAACTTTCCCTGCGCTGAAGCTGTACTAGGCAGACCCTCCAAGAAGTACATATGCCATCGTCATATTTTCATATGCTAATAAATACCCTCTGCCCTTTCCCACAAAAGTAGATCCAAATAAGCATTAAACATTCTTGTACATACTCTTCACAGATTCACCTTAACCTACTTAAACTACCTGTCCCCCAAAACACACACCGCTATACTTGGCCTTTGTCTGGTTTAAGTATGTCCTTTCACCCCTAAGCAACTGAGTGTAACTAAAAGATTCAAGCATAACTGATGTCAAAACAGATAGCTATAAACAGGCAATAAGTACTAATATTTATTATCCACACTTTCCCTTGAAAACCAGGAGTTTAAATGATATTTTTCACTAGCGTTCCATTATGTGAATGGTTAGTATTTTTATGCCAGTGCCAACAATTAGACTACTCTGCTCAAAAAAAAAAAAAGGAACTATAGCTTGATATATTTCAGGATAAACGCAAAAATGCTGATTATTTTTTCTTAAATAACTTTTTTCCTTGAAAAAAGAAAAGCCACCGAAAAGAATACTCCTAAGCATCCCTAAAGAAATACGGGAGAGTCTCAAGCCCCTTTGGGCTGGTCCATCTCTGATCTTACTCAGGTCTCTGTCACCACCCAGTGGACACCACACGCAACTACAAGTCTCACAGACTGCCTCCGAAGACAAGAGCAGCTTTCTTCGCCCAAGGAGAGATACGTAATTACAGGAAAGTGCTCTCAATGCTCTTCCCTGTGAGCAACTTTCTACTTTTAAATTTCAACAACAGAATACATGTACTCTGACTGTTCTAACGGTTTTCAGTGATAAATGGTGGGGGCCACTGTCAGGAAAATTCTTCTGGGACAGAATCATCTTATTCCTTTTTCCAGATTAAATATTAAGTCCATTTGAGGTTTCAAATATTGTCACAAAATTACTGATTTCAAATTTATATCTGAAAAACAGAGCAGTTTCATTTCTGTTTAATGTACTATCAGCCAGAAGAATATACAATTCAAACACTATTACAGCTTTCAACAAGGTGATCAAAAGAAATACAGTATGCTTTCAAAATTATAGCTATGATAGTTTCAAAAATCCAAAAAAATTATTGTAGTTAGGCTCATAGGCTGGACTTTCTTTCTAGCAGATTAAACTTGAAAGATAAGGGAAGCTGAAAGGACACAATTATTTAACACATTTATTTTTATAAACCTATTTTAATGCCACATAAATTCAATAGATCTTTGTGAAATAATTTTTAAAACCTGTACTGTGTGTTTCCTAGGGTTTCAAGTCACAAACACAGTACAAACTGCTGTGCATGTGTAACATCAGTTTCCACTATACAAACAAATAGAAGTGAAACGCACTCAAACCCTCAAAAAGTGAGACAGAATACATAACTAAACTGACTTGTCTGTGTGTGCAACTGAGATACAGAAAGATTCCATCACCTACAAAAACTGCCTCCCGCTAACCTTTTGTAGATGATAGGTTTTTATATCCTAAAAAATACATTACAGCTTCATTTGTTCATTAAAAAATATCGATTGAATGCCTACTCTATGCCAGGCACTGCCCTAGGTGCTGGCGACACGAAGACACGGTCACGGTCCTCCAGGAACTTACTGTCTAGTGCAGACATCAAACTAACTGGCACGGGGGTGAGGCCCAGCGAGTGTGGGGACAGATGCACACACGGGGCATGCACGGTTCCAGCACAAAATACCGGTGACCAAACTCTGCGGCTTTTGGGAGGCAGGGGACTGGCCAAGTCTTCAGGAAGGAGACAAGGCTTAAGCCAAGCCGTGTGCACTCAGCAGGGTGGACCGGGTCAGAGGCCCCGGTGGTGTGGAGCCCCCTCACCACGTTCCCCCTTAACCGCCAGCATGAGCAGAGCAACATCAACCAGTGTTACCGTTGTTATTTATCCACCCCTCTCCTTTTATCCCCACGCTACTCTCCATCCCCTTTCTACCGTTTCCTAGTAAAAGATCTTACGAACGACTGCTACCAGGTTTCCTCATGTGTAAAATGAGGATGAGTACTTTTTCTTAAGAGTTATTTTAAGGATTAAATGAGACAGTGCATGTGGTATGCGGCAGAGAGCAAGCATTCAATACATACTAGCTGCTAGTTAGATGCTAAATCATCCCACTCCATTACACAGGTTTTGACATTTTATTCTCGTGTTCAAATAGTTCTACTATATACACATATTTTTTTCTTTATGTGTCTTTTACTAAAACTTGTCTTAAACTCTCTTTAAAAGTAGGCAAGACATTTAAAAATAAATGTTGAAATAGCAAGAATATAGTTAATAACTGCTGTTCCAAATGCATTCCCTGCTACAGCAAAGAATTAGTAGAAAAGGGACATCATCACACTGCATGAGAGAGGGGTGACCTTCCAGAGCAGAGGCGATGGTCTCACAGGGCCCAGGCCCACACTCCATTATTGCTGTGACAGCTTGTTTTCTAATGAATCCTGAAGACCCAGAACAAACCTCGGAGAACACGGATTAGACCCCTTGCAGTTAAATAACTAAAAGCAGAGCATCTTGGTTTTTAGCAAAGGTGTGTTCTTAAAACTTCTTTCTACTGTGCTCTCTCCACATTTTCTTTTCTTCTCTTCCACTCACCCAGTATCACCCTCCATCCACCTTCCCCCATTTATCCTGTTTCTAGCTCTACTATGACCCTATTCACACTCTAGTATTATTGTGTAAATTCTGTCTCTCCTCTGTGCACCCTGAGAGCAAGAAGCATGTCATTCTTTTCAGTTAAATCCTCAACAGAGCACCTAGCAGAAAACCTAACAGGTGGTACTGGAAGATGTTTTGAAATAAGTGAATGAAATATATTATTTAGGGCTTCCCTGGTGGCACAGTGGTTGGGAGTCTGCCTGCCAATGCAGGGGACGCGGGTTCATGCTCTGGTCCGGGGGGATCCCGTGTGCTGCGGAGCGGCTGGTCCCATGAGCCGTGGCCGCTGGGCCTGCGCGTCCGGAGCCTGTGCTCTGCGACGGGAGAGGCCATGGCAGTGAGACGCCCGCGTACCGCAAAAAAAAAAAAAAAAAAAAAAAAATATTCAAAATTATTATGCTGTGCTGCCGAAAAAAAAAAAAAAAAAAAAAAAAAAAAAAAAAAAAATATATATATATATATATATATATATATATATAATTTATATTGCAACATACTGCCAAGAGCCCTGGATCAGCAGTCAGGAAACTCGGACTCTAGTGGCAGCAGTAATGCTGTGTCTGCAGGTTCTGCAGCTTCAGAGTTAGCATTTTAGTATCAGTTTCCTCTTCTAGAAAATGGGACTTTTACTTGTTCTGTTATTGCGTATGGTTCCACAAAATGAGATGATGAAAGTAAAAAGCGCTTATTGTTATGGTAGCTTAAAGCACCATGGTCACTTCTGTTGAAATAACATTATTTGTATATCAAACTTCCTAAATTTAAGTAGGGTCTCTATTAGGAGAGGCAGATTTAATTAATATGTTTATTCAATTTTTCTTAAAACCTTCGATTTTAAGAAATCTTATTTATATGATGTCATCACAAGTATGCTGCTGTTTTCAAACAGAAATTGCCCATGTTAACTGCACCGTGTCTTCCGA